TTATGATTCCCCTCAGTTCTGTTTGCTTTGATTATTGTATCAGTTAGGTTTATCTATGGAACAAATAGTCCCATGTCAAATGACTAATCATAAGATATTTATTATCAAATGGAATTATATGCTTAGGAGTGTTTCTAATCTCTGTGGAGCTACTCATGTGTCTCTAGTCTCCTGTCCATACCTACATTGTTTTCCTAAGGCTCATCCTTGATGTATGTGGCCATATTGCTCTTCTGCCTTGAATCAATTAGAGCTCAGCTTACTACATTTCTATATTTACTTTAATTTTCCATACATGAGGAAAATGATTTTACCATGTGAATTAATTAAATTTAATTCCACTGTTACTACATCCTTAAATAACACCTGGCTTTCTTCCAGTTAAAAGAGATAATCTCCCACTCAGTTTAAATGAGAATCAGGTACCTATGATCTTCTACCTTAAGTTATGCATCATTAGATGTTCTTCTATTTAATTAAATTCCTAGAAAATAAATACACAGAATAAACTGTATATGTAACACATATGATTTGATAAATTAAAGGAGCTACAAAAAATCAAGAGCATACACAGCTTGTTGCCATTTGTGTATAATTAAAATGATGCACCTAAATTTTAACTTCTTTGTTATGGAATGGGTAACAATTTTGGCTCCCTGAACCTCAACTTCCTTATTTCTGAAGGAAATGTGGGATACTGAAAACAACTCTATATGGACATTGTGAGGAAGGAATGAAATGCATGGAAATTAATTTTTTTGTTCAAAGAAAACATTCAAGGGTAAAGGTTGTATCTATATCTATGTGTGCATTTCTATACATTTTCCTTAAGAAAACACACATGCAGTTCATACAAACACATTTATGATTATATCTTTTATGTTGAAAGGAAAGATGAAAGATAGAAAGGATAGAAAGAATAGAAATTATGTGTGAATTAATATGAAATACAGTAATATATATATGTATAAACAAAAAGATTTAAAGTACAATGGATGGTCTTAATTTTCGTAGTGACTTGGAACCAAGGCCAATCACACACTTGTATATGAACTTTGGGCAGATCACTAAACTGTTCTGAGCAAGGGAGAACAGAGTTCATAAATGTAGTTCTTCATGAATAAAATGATTATAAAAATTACAAAACAATCCCTGTAAGTTGCTAAACTCAGTATAGAACATAAAAATATCTATCTATGTCTCCTATAATTAATAAACATTTTCTAATGAATGGCCAAGTGATATCGCTAAATTTGTGATGTATATATGAATTTCACGTTATGGAACAAACATCGTAAAGCTAAGGTGTGTAGTGCTCAAGGTTTATTATCAAAATAACTCCATTTTCTCTTCTGTTGAAAAACAGAATAGGAATTTTCTGGATAAGTCATGGGATATGTCTGTACCACAGGTCAATGCTTTGAGAATACAAGAGACCTCATACCCATAGGTTCCTTAGTCTTAGACTTGGAGAAAACTCTAACTCAAAGTTGGAGAGTTAGAAAACTTCAAAGGTGTGGGGCACTTAGAGATTTGTAAGGGTAGCAAGTCCTTGGAGAAGAAATAAAAAAAAAACCCTAGATTCATTTTTCTTCTAACCTGATCCATTGGGAACAGAAATTCATTAGAAGAAATTTCCCGTCTGTGCAGAACACTTTTTCCCAGGGCAATCATGTGGTTGGAATTTAGCATAGTGAGAGGAAAATTGCCTAATGAGCAGATAATTGAAGCTGTAAATATTTCCCTGTCTCCCACCTGTCAGCCTGTGCAACCTAGAATGGAAAAGGGCATGGGGTGTTTTGATTTGTTTATTTTTGATTGTTGAGAATCCTAGTTTTGGCTGGAGGACTGATGCTTCACTCCTTCATGCTGTCATTGGAGCACAGAGGTTTCATCTGCATCATCTACCAACCAGGGAGGATTCAGATTTCTACAAGGAGCCTGTCCTCTCAGAGACCCCATCCAGGTGAGTCCAACACCCCAGTGGAGCCTAGATGAGAGAAGTGATTAGAAGCCAAGAACATGGACCTGTTATCACCTGATTTCCACTTCTACATATCCCAGATGCAACAAATGACTGTGATTGCTTGATTAATTACTTCACATATTTATTTCAGTGGCTTCATAATATTTCAGTGTTTGTGCTACCCAGTTTTAATGATTTTTCCTGTTCTTTATCATTAAGTTACGATTAAGTTGATGCTAGAAAAATAAGTTAGAGATTGTTAAGTTCAAACTGTAGTTGTCATCAGGTATAATTTTGTCCCCTTTAGACATTGAGAACTGTGCAGGGAAGTGGTTGACTGTTACACTAGAGAAGGGTGGGCGGAGGCTCAATTCTCTGAACATCCTACAATGCATAGGACAGACCCCACCACAAAAAACGGTAAGCTCAAAATGTCAATAATGCCAATTCTGAGAAATCCTGAGTCAAAGAAAATAATTTGTAATATAGGTATCTTAAGGTCGTTTTCCAACTGTAAAGAACTTTCCTTGTCTGCCAATAAAGTGAGAGCTCCCCTTTGGTACCATTTTGAAAGTTCCAACTCCAATCAATATCACAGATCCTTAAGATTTTTGTCCCAAGTTGATGGATGCTTATGAAAGACATTTCTTGTTTTTTTAAACTATTACTCTGTTTCAGCAAAATTCATGTGTTTGACCACCAATTATACCTTTTACTATTATACACCTGTATATTAATTTGCCATGTTTTTATATGTGTCAGCATTTCACATAAGTTCCACAGGTCATTCTCCTTAACTGAATTTTGGAGCAAATTTTTTACCATAACATTTTTAAATGTTATTAAAAAGTATCTATTTTTACTTTTGAGTTTCTTTTCTTTTTAGATATGGTTTTGCCACCTCCTCCCCCAGTATACTTTTATGTAGTTTTTTTAGCTGTTTATCTTAAATGTGCTGGCTAGTTTTACTTGGAAGTTGTAATCCCTCTACTCATTTGTAAGATGTCTTAGATGTCACATTTTCCTAAATAGGAAGCCTTTAGTGTCTTTTCCTATATAATTCAACATTTTCCAAATACACTGAAACACAACTTTGTCATATGATAAATGTTCATATATATTGAGACATAATTCCTGATTCATACCACAAATAATAAATGAGGATCTGCTATTATCCAGGACATTCTTGGAACATTATGTGTTATATTCTTTTATGTCTATTGACAATTTAATTATTGATCCATGTTGATATTATTAACTTATTCATATTTTATATCTTGTGTCAGTTACTGATTCCTCAATTTGCTTATGAGAGTTGTTTGAAACTACTCATTTTAACCTTGTTTGTTTATCCTTCCACTATTTCCATTTTGTAGCTTTTCAGATTCTTACATTGGTTTCTGTATATGTACACATATATCCAAACATTTGTACAAAATACAGAGGTGAACAAAGGAGCTGAAGTCTGCTGTTTTGCATCATGCATTATAACAGTGAGGACAGATTATAATGTAATATGTGCATGTATAGCATAATACCCTCAGGCACAATCATATGAATAAAGTTTTTATTTTAAAGGATAGGATTGCTATGGTGTGGGCAGGATATACCAGGTATTTGGAGACCTTTACCTGTTGGACAAAGTCCAGAAGCAGGACTAGAATGTGGCTATTGCATTTATCAAAAATGAGATCAACCCAATGAGAAAGAAAAACAAAGAAAAGATGACACCTAAGAAAAGGGAGATGGGGGCTAACCTCATCCCCTTTCAGACCCTATAAAAAAGAAGTGTCAAAAAATTTTGGGATAGGCATAGGAAAAATAAGTATTCTAGTGCTTGATATTAAAAGTTCCCAACTTTGGTTGTACTGTGTATTTTCCTTTGTGCAGTGTTGATTTATCACTTTGCTCATCTTCTCTTGGATGTACACTAGGTAGGGTGTTGAACACCAAAAGACACCACTACATTTACATTTTTGTTCTCTTAATATTTTTAGGAATGTCATCAGGGTTGAATGGGTATATGGATTCATATATTCCTTGGTGATTCTTACAACACAGGTGCCAGCACTCAGTCAAGAAAAGGTACTAAGTAGGGGAATCTGTTTCAATTCATGGATGTCTTGGCAACAAGATTTCAAGGGACAGTGTGGTTGAGGAAATGCCTTTGATTTGATTTTTTAGGACTACTTACTTCCTCACCATGTCTGACACCACTTCTCATCACTGTCCCTCATCTCTATTCACCTTGCAACTCCAGCTTCACCTTTTTTGACTTGAACATTTGAAACAAGCACCTTCTTCATGGCATTTGCATTGGCCATTCCCTCTGCTGATCACACACTTTCCAAAATCAAATTTTTCATCTCCCCCTCTCTCTTAAATGAAATTTCTGTTCAATTATCACCTTGCTTGCAGAACTTGCCTGAATAGCAATGGAAAATAGAGCTCCCTATCACTGTCTACTTGTACCTGTTTTCCTTTTCTTCAAATCACCTGTCACCATCAGAAAAGTTGTGTGTGTGTGTGTGTGTGTGTGTGTGTGTGTGTGTGTGTGTGTGTATTATTTACTTATATATTCTTTTTTTCCATCATTGAATTATAGGGACTTTTGTTTTTCAGCACTGTATACCCATTACCTAGGTACTTTATAAAATACAGTCATCACTGAATATATATTCATGGAATACTGAAGAATTTTACATTAAAAGTGTAAGGTGCATGATCACCCAAATAAAAAGCTTAATGGGCCAAAATTTCTTTATATAAAAAGTAACCCGAGGGACTCCCTGAAAAGGACCATGCACAAAATATTAAAATTAATTTCTTGACCACAAAATATCAATTGTAGCATTTCAATGATAAATGAGTGATGCAAGTTTGTGTGAAAATTAGTCATGTTATTTCCCTCTTTCCTGGAAGTTATCTTCACCACATGGAACCAGGAAATGATACCCAAACTTCTACATTTTTTCTTCTGGGATTTTCAGAGGAATCAGAACTGCAACCCCTCATATTCGGACTTTTCCTCTCCATGTACCTGGTCACTGTGTATGGAAACATGCTCACCATCTTGGCGATCAGTACAGACTCTCACCTTCACACACCCATGTACTTCTTCCTCTCCAAACTCTCCTTTGTGGACATCTGTTTCACTTCCACCACCATCCCCAAGATGCTGTGGATCATCCAGACACAGAACAAAGCTGTAACTTATGAAGGCTGCATCATCCAGATTTATTTTATTATACTCTTTGCAGTGTTGGATGTCTTTCTCCTGACCATAATGGCCTATGACCGGTATGTGGCCATCTGCCACCCCCTGCACTACATGGTCATCATGAACCCCCAGCTCTGTGGACTGCTGGTCCTGGTGTCCTGGATCATTAGTGTCCTGAATTCCTTGTTACATATCTTAATGATGTTACGTCTTTCTTTTTGTACAAACTTGGAAATTCCACACTTCTTTTGTGAACTCAATGAGTTGATCCAACTTGCCTGCTCAGACACCTTTCTTAATAACCTGGTGATGTACTTTGCAGCTGTCCTGCTGGGTGGTGGTCCCTTTGCTGGGATCCTTTACTCTTACTCTAAGATAATCTCTTCCATATGTGAAATCTCATCAGCTCAGGGCAAGTATAAAGCATTTTCCACCTGTGTATCTCACCTCTCTGTTGTGTCCCTATTTTATTGTACGATGCTAGGGGTGTACCTTAGCTCTGCTGCTACCCAGAGCTCACATTCAAGTGCAGCATCCTCAGTGATGTACACTCTGGTTACGCCCATGTTGAACCCCTTCATCTACACTCTGAGGAACAAAGACATAAAAATGGCTCTGAGAAGATTAATTGGGATGTCTTTTATGTAAGATCAGTTCTTCTGGGGATGAAGAAGTTCTCATGCTTTTATGGGTCAAAGCCTCACAACCAGAAATTGCTATGTTTTGATCAGATTTTAGACACATAGCTCGCTCCTTCTTTTATTTCCTTATATTTCCATTGATTTGAATGTAACCTCTCTATACTATTTCTAACTAACAAGTTACTGTTGTACCTTTTATACAGACAAATTTTCCCTTTGTTAATTTTCCTACATTTCCAAAGTTTTACCGACTTTGGATCACAAATACTTGGAAATTTCCATATCATAGATGCTGTGTGGAAAATGGAACTTTCTGATAAGGATTCCCACTTGGCTTTAATAGATGTCCTTTTCATATATTTATGGGACATATTACAGAGAGCGGCTGGTCAGTCATGCGTTTGCCAGTCTAGGGTAGGGGTGCAGAGAAAACACCCATTCTTTCCTCCATCGTGTTCCTGGTATTTAACTGGTCAAGCACCTGACAATCACCAGGAACATGACCACAGTGTTCCTCCTGTACATCTGGATCCAGAAAAGGATTTTTACCATGGGAATGAGAAATCTCGTGCTTCAAAAGCTCCCCCATCACTCTTTGGGTCCCTAGTGACTATTCTTGCCCTAACTTATGGCAACCCATAAATGAGGTTACTTGTTTGTAGCAGATCTGGGAGGGATATAAATAATGAGAGCATGGAAGGAAATATGTTCTGCTACTGAGAGGAAAGGCTCAAAGGGCCCTCAAGGACCCAGATGTGAAGGCCTCAAGGACCCAGATGTGGACTGATTTGATAAAGGCAGTACAAGAGAAAAATTAGATGGGAAGCCCAATAAAATATTGCTAGAACTGTAGTATTATTGCAAGAGGTTTTGGGTCTTGTAGGCTACTGGAGGTTGTTTATCCTGAACTTGGCATAAATTCTGAGAACCTTATGTCATTTGGTATAAAAGGGCATCAGATCAACTGCACATACAAACCAAGGACGAATTGTTGCAGCCATGGTTTGGCCATGAGAATAACATTTTGCTGCCAGCACCAACTGCACTAAACCCTGGAGACTCTGTTGAATGGATGTGGCCTTGGGTGTTTTGACACAGGGACCAGTGTTTTCTGGCCCTTCTGGAACCTTGGAACCAAGACCTGGAAGCTGGCCTCCTATGTGTTCCTGGAGGAACATGAGAGTGGCCCCCAAATATTAGAGTACTGTACCCCAAATGGCTGGAATATAAGATCATCTTACTGGGGAATTTTGTCTTATCATTGTGGACAGAGAATGTGTCTTCTATAGCCCTACATATTGATCCATCAGTAACTCCCACAGGGAGAGGAGTGAATTTATTTGATGCTAGACAAGGACAGGACCCCGATCCATGCCCTGTCCTATCACAGGACCAATATCTTGCATGCATCCTACCTAATGGACAAGATTTGCCTATGTTGGTGTCATTAAAACAGTGTCTTATTTCCCTTTAGGTTAATCTATTCTACATTTCCTGTGAATTGGAAAACCCCCTAGCAACAGCTGCTGGTTGCTGAGCATGCCTGAGCATGTCAGTTCAGCTGCTGGCCTCCCATGGAAGTGCAAGCTATGAATGCAGTCTGAGTAGGACTTTGAATGCAGCTGGATCCTCAGGCTTGAGGATTGTCATGGGTTTCTCATTATCTGTATCATAATTTCTGTTATTTGTGTGTTATAATAAATCTTTATGCAATAATTCCTAATGTCCTGTTGGGATGGATTGTGCCTTCATCCCTTCTAGCCGTGTTGGGGCTGGTGGTGCAGCTGTGCTTCCTAGTGGCTGGGACAGCTGACTAGTTCTGTTCCTGTGTAACCCCACCTTCCATGAATGGGAGTGGATTGAGAGGAGGCAGTTGTTAGGCTGGTATTTTTGCTGCCATCAATCTGGACCAGCACAGTAGCCAAACCTAATGTCCTTTCCACAGGGGGAAATGTCTGGGTAAAGAGAAATGACAAATGGAGAGGAGAAATTATAGCTGAGTATAAAAGGATGAATAAGTGTGTTATGCAATGAGGGATATCCAACATTTTATTAATGCCTCAAGTGAGGCTCAAGGCAGAGAATATCTCTTAGCAAAAGCATATTGGATGCCCTCAGGTTGAAGCTATTTGTTTGCCAAGACCACCTCTGCTTTTGGAACCCAACAAGGTTGAATGACAGCCTGCAAACCAGAGTTACATTGCTCTGGGAGAAATTCAGGTGATAAGCCTTTATAGGACAAATGAGTTGCCTGCGGCCTTGTATGTATACAATGGGCAATATTAGAATCAGTGGAGGTGAGAATCCTGGCCAAAAAATTTCCATTTTCCCTATGCTATACCCCTCCAGAATTCTTTCCTCATCATCTACATGCTTTCAAACTTCCATGATGGTCCCTGTATGAGAAAGCTGAGCCTTATAACCAGATCCCACAATAGCAATAGAGGCTGTAAAAACATACAAATAATAACAGAAATTATGATACAGATAACAACAAAATTATTACTTTTTGTTCCTCAAGCCTGAGGAGATTGACTGCCACCAGCTGTATTCATAACAGTCCTACTCAGATGGGTCTATTACTCACACTTTCCACAGGAGGCTAGAGTGAAACAGTAGGGAGATCTGTGCACACATAACAAGCAGCAGCTTTTGCTAGGGTGTGTGACCAATCCACAAAGACTTTAGAGGAGGTTAAACTTAATAGTGATAAGACACATAGTTTAATAATGCCAACATAGGCAAGTCTTGTCCATCAGGTAGGGTGCACAGAAGAGTGGTCCTGTGATAAGACTGGCAGGAAGGGGGTACTGATGAATCTAGTATATGACACCTTTCTCCCTCTCCCACTGAGGGTTTCTGAGGGGTCTATATATAGTGCTGCTGAAGGCATATGCCCTACACACAAAGATAAAACAAAAATTCCTGTAAAATGCTCTTATCTTCTGGCCATTTAGGGTACACTACCATATCTTTGGGGAACACTCTACTGTTATTCCTGGAATGGAATACACAGGAAGCCAGCGTTCAGGCCTTATCCCCAAGGTGCCAGAAGGGCCAGCCATTGTTGGTCCCTGTGTGAAAATGTCCAAGGCCACAACTACTGAACAGAGTCTCCAGGGTTTATTGCAACCAGTGCTGGCAACAAGATGTTATTCTAGCGGCCAAATCTTGGCTTCAACAATTCCTCCTTGGTTTGTACTTGCAGGTGTATAGCAGAGACAGCAATGTGTGTTAGCAAGTTCACAGGGCTTCTCATTCAAATGCTGTCACACTGTCCATAAGCAGACACACCATACCCATAGACTCTTGGTCTCTGAATTCAGGCCAGACTTTAAGAAACCATTGTAACTCTCTATCATGGCTTCCCATCCGCCATTGAATTATATGGTAATTGAAACTCCCAATTTATCTATAATTTTTGTACCCATTATTATGGTTCATGCCCAGTAAAGTGGGTGCCTTGATCAGTCTCAATTACCTAAAGTCAGTCATAGGCTGCAAAGAGATACTCTAGGCCTCTTTTGGTCATTTGATGGTCTGTGCAATACACAGGAAAAGCAATCATAAGTCCATTAGCTGTGACCACACTAGTCATGGCATATCCATAACCTTCTGGTATGGGCAGAGGTCCAAAATAGTCTATCTCCCACTTGATGAGAGGGATTGTTCCCTTAGGTATTGTTCCATGTTGCTGTGGGAATTGGTGTAAGTCCCTTTTTGAGTATATAATGCACTCTTAACCAGGCTCTGATGACTTATTCAAAGGTCAAAGGCAGGCCCCCAAAATGTGCTGCAGCCCACATTGTCTTCTGCCCTGCCTGTGACAAGTTTTGATATAACCATTTGTCCACATCAGAAGTAGGCTTTCCTTCTAGCCAATGCACCTGGGCCAAAGTGTCTGCCTCATCATTTCCTGGGAATGCCAGTGGCAAATGGCCTGTCACATGATATACTATAATTGTTTTAGTCTCACTAAAGGCCTATAAGTCTTCCTAAGGCTCTTCCTCCAAAAGGGGTCAGTGATCCGCCAGCCAGTTGGTGTGGTATAATTTTGGTAGTCACAGAGTCAAGCCTCAATAGATGGCCCAGCCATCAGTGCAGGCAACTAACGGGGAGAGCTCCTGTGTGATCATGAGCCATGCTGCCCACAGCTCTGCCCATTGACTGCTCTTTACCCTTATGCTCTTTCATACATATTGTCTCAGCCTTAGGATGCAAATCTAAGGCCCTCCATTTCAGTGGCTGTCCATGGCTGGAGCCATCTGTGTACCATGCATCTTTGGGTATAAGGGTTCTTCTCTCCTGATAATGGCTCTCTGTTACTAATGGCCCCACAGAAAATTCTTCTTGCCTTTCACTGGTATATGTCACTGTCTTCAGTAAGCATTGGAGTTCTCCACTCAAGCAGTTCATAGAAAGGGCACTACATTAGTGGAGGCACCTCACTTGGCCAGTGTAGGCATCTCTGCCATGCCACCCTGTGGTCTTTGTGCCCACTTTTGTACCCACCAAGCAATGGAATAAGTGGTTATTACCTTTGTCAGGGCTGTTCTACAGATGTACTCCATAGTCGGCAAAGCATGGTACATATCAGCCAATTGATTGCCTATTGAGGTGTATCAGACCTCTGCTTCCTTCTAGGGTTATAACCAGAATACAATAGTTTGGTGGTGTCATTCAAGCCATGGCCATAGACCCAAGCCATAACTGTCTTTAGTCATATGAACACCCAGCTCACAGGGCCTCGATATGCCTGTCACACTCAAGGCATACACAACCCTGACTGCCCACATTGCATCAGTAAGAAAAAGCATATGTCTCATCCCAGTCCTACCTGACACCCTTTCATACCAAGTAGTATAAGGACTTCAGATTTTGTGTCAAGTGTGGGATAAACACTCTCCGGTAGCCTAAAAGACCCAATATCTCTTGTAATACTGCAATAGTTGTATGTAAAGGGAAAGCCTTGATAGTACCTATGACTGCTTCCAGAATAATTTTAAT